AACTAATGAACGGATTTTAATGTAGTTTATCTGATATCATAGGTATTTTTAATACTTGAAAAAAAGGATAAAACTTTTTTTCAATAGCATCAACAATTATGCACAAAAAACGGGCTTTTGCACTGTCTTTAATTATTTATAAATAATTATTTATAAACAATGTTCCACAGCCGGAAATCGAGCACAAACTATAGTCTCAATATTCTGACATCCTTCCCAACAACTTCCAATAATCTTTTACCATCATATTTTCAGTGCCGGAAACAGGCCTTTTCTAAAGTGTAATCCGACTGGACTCAAAATACGCTTCAGCCCGGTTTCAGGTACAAACCAATATTTATCATGGGCCAAAATAACATGTGGCAAAAAATCACAGATACTTGGAACAGGTACGAGCTTGGAACAGTCACACATGGAACCTGTGCCTGAAAAATACTCGTTTGTGTCATCCCTACCATCTACTGACCGTACGATTTCTTTTTCCGACCGCTATCCCGCGCTAATACGCATTAAATCCCGTACACCCTCGAACGCACAGATCGCCCCGCCACAAAATATCACCCCTGGGGCATGTTCTGTGGCCCCTGCGCACTATTAGTTTAAGGGTGAATCCCAGGGATGTTTATGGCGGAATGAAATAATTAAGATAAAATAAAATGGGAGTTCAGGAGAAGTTTATCGCCTGGTTTACCACGCGACACGTCAATAGGAAAGAACTGGCCCCAAACTGTTAGAGATCGACATCTTGGAAAAGATACGAAGAGGCCTATGTCCAGAAATGAATGGAGGAAGGCTGATGAAGAGGGAGAAGAAGAAGAATGTTATTTTAAATGTGTATCTTTTTCCTAGTTTTTGAACCACTACACGATCAAACTCAATCTCAATATAAATTACGTCTCTAGGTTTTTTCGTTTCGTAAATACCTATTGTAAAGAGAAATTTATGTTTTTATTTTCCCAATTAATCCTACTTTTTTTCACGAACGAAACTTTGGCAGGCGATTTGAATTTACATTGTGATCTCCACGATCTCTGCTTGCTAAGTTTCAATAATTTTTCAAGAATCTGATAATTTTCTTTAATTGAAGCACTAATATAACATCACAATTCAAGGGCATTGTCCGATGCTTGAAATATTATTGAAACTTAAGCCGACTTGGCAATCAATAACTGGATTCAAATCTCCCGCTACATTTTGATGTGAACCTATTCGGTAAAGAAATTTTCTTCCCAATGCAGTGGTCCAGTCTAGTTCGGAAAGCAGCCACTGCCAGTAAGCGACAAACAGCATGCTGCAGATTTATATGCCAATTTCCAATCTATGACCTATGTGAAATGGGGTTATGTTATGTTTCTCATTTATTGTTGTTGTTGGGATCGTGTTCTTTGCGAGTTCTTTTATATTACCCCTATAACACCTTATTACTGATTTAGAATGGATGAAGACGATCCTAAGGAGTATCGTTGGGAGACGGGATATGAAAAAACTTGGTAAGCTTTACTTGAAATTACGTTTTATAATATACTTTATTTATGGTGCTCATGTACTTTATGCCGGTTGGAGTTTCGCGTTCTTTTCCGCTTAAAGTACAATGAAAATAAAGCAGTTTGAGTGAAAAAAAGCGAATTGTCCATAAACTTGCAGGAAAAACACCTCCAAACTATTGAAACTCTTGTTCAAACGACCCGGTATTTATCATTGAAAATGAGATTACCCAGTGCCGTCTCCTGTTAAATCTTGTTTTAAACACGAACAATCGATGATTCGACACACAAAATTGTGTCAAAGAGTCGCTGCAATAAAGTTTTTGCAACATTTTAGGCCATCTTAAATCCACACAAGTGGATTCACATATATTCCATCAATAGGTATATTGATATCATGGTAGAAATTGTCGTGCAGGGAAGCCCTAGTTACAGTAGAACCTTATTCTGCTGATAAAAAAAGCGGACACAGCCGGAAGGCGCGTATCGGGTAGAGGAACCCCATATTACAGGGAATCCCAATTTTATTATATATATACATAATTTTATTGGTATATATATATACATAAGCCTGCACAGGTTGAGTCAGGATAGAGTCAGTCCCGGTTTTTCTCTAGGTTACCTTCTGTATGATCCAGGTTGTGTTTACATTTTTTCCGTTTCGTGTGCAGATATTTTCTTTGTCTAGCCAGAACGGTTGGCTGTACAGGGTGATTCAAAATTGACGTCATTCCTCTGGAGGTGTTGTCTGGCGCTGTTACAGGAGTACAGAAAAAATAGTAAAATAAATTAATTGTTATTAAAAACTGATAAATTTGCAAAAAACTATATCAGAAATGCGGCAGCAATGTTTTTCAAGGTAATCTGCCTAATTAACATTGCGCAAATACCTGTTGCTTCGTAATTATTTAAAACTCCGGTAACCATGGAATTATACAGACTGACAATAAGATAGACAATGATAAACGGTAAATTCAACAAGATTTGTTGACAAAATGTCAATCTGCTCTCATAACCTGGAATATGGGTGTTTATAAATAAACCCTACAACACCAAACATTTGAATGGTTAACTCCAAACAAGCTAGTGCCTGTGTAATCTCCTTATTATCCACTCTTATCAAGCAGCTTCTCGTATTCAGTTAATTAACTCGTGCTCCATTTGTATCTCCTTGTGCTGTGTGTATCGTACAAACGGGGTAGGAACGTAGCTTTCCTCGGTATTTATTTGGTGCTTCGGAAAGTGTCAGTTATTGTGCTCTGAGTGCTCCTGGAAGGCCCTGATTCGATTATGCCCAATACTTGTTCCTCTGTGTCTGGAACCCGAACATCGATTGTCGTCCACTATCTTCCTGGAACCACTCTCCTCGCCCTTTGTTGGC